ATGTGCCATTTTTTATTTCGTTTGAGCCACGCAACAGACACCACTATTCACTGACACTGACTGTATACAAATGAATAAAATAATAGTAAAAACATCGTTCCAAATTCTTTCGCTTTTTTGTTTCCGATGCGATGAACCGATACGGCGGATTATATCCGTTGTCGCCAAACACGAGCACATAATATTATTATTGAGACAGGGCGGTACTCAAATTTCCAAAGGGCTATAACTTTGTTACTTTAATTTTACCAGAAAAATGGTAAAGGAAAAAAACATTTCTTTTGATCAGATCTACTCACTGTTAAAATAAGTGACTCAACTTCGAAGTCACCCTGTATATTTTGGACTGACAACAAGAGATCTTCGTAAGCTAGCGTTTCAATTTGCATATGCTAACAAACTAACCCATCCTAAAAAATGGGATGAAACTGAACACGCCTCTGAAGATTGGCTTGCAGCTTTACTCATTTAACCGTTCGCACGCCCCAAGCCACAAGCCTTTCACGAGCCATGAATTTCAATAAAGAGAACGTATCCAGCTTCTTTGATAAACTATCATCAGTTTTGGAAAAGCATCACTTTGAACCTCAAAACATTTACAACATTGACGAGACCGGGGTGACTTCAGTGCAAAAGCCAACTAAGGTAATAGCCAAAAAGAAAACAAAACAGGTGGGATCCATATCCTCGCAAGAACGTGGAACACTCGTTACGCTATGTTTAGCTGTCAAGCAGTTGGCAATACGGTTCCTCCAATGTTTATATTCCCTCGTATCCATTTTAAAGATCATTTTATTAGAGATGGACCCATTGGATGTATAGGGACTGTAAATAAATCCGGGTGGAACATTTCGTGAAACTAATAAGGTGCTTATTTTGTTGGACAACCACTCTTCACACGTTTCAATATCCTTAATAGACTATTGCAGAGATAATTTCATTACCTTGCTGGCATTCCCTCCACACATATCACATAGTCTTTGGACCGAGGAGCGTATGGCCCTTTTAAAAAGTATTTCAACAGTGCTGCAGATAAGTGGATGAAAAATAACCCAGGAAAACGCATGACCATTTACGATTTACCTTGGATTGTAGAATCATCTATTCTTCTGGCCACTACGCCAAATAACATTATTGCTGGTTTTTCATGCACCGGTATATGGCCTTTCAACCGAGAGATTTTTAGAGATAGTGATTTTGCTCCTTCCACTGTAACCGACAAGCCACTACAAGATGAGAATTTAACTACAGGGACTAATATGCCCGACATCGAGAATAGACATAAAAATCCAGAATCAGCAATAAAAAGACACACCAGTCCATTACGAAGTCAACCAGGACCATCCACAGCCTCAGACTCTACTCCTCCAACAGAATCACTATTAGTTTCGGGAGAATAATTCATCCTTAGTTACGCCTGAAGTTCTTAAACCACTGCCAAAAGCAGATTCCGCTAAATCCAAAAAGGTAGGAAAAAATGAAACGAATAACGGCCATACTAACAGATACACCAGAAAAACTTTTGATCGTAGCAAAAAATTTAAAGAAAGAAGTCCCAATGAAATATAGCCTTGACCAAGTTCAAAATGTGAAGGAAAAATCGCTGCAATCAAAAACACAAAAAAAGAATAGTAGGAATATATTCAAAAAGAAAAGTGCACCGAAAGATGACACTTTTTCAGATACTCTGTTTGGTATGTTTTTGTCCATATTCTAAGAGCACAGAAGACTGGTTGCAATATCGAGAAGGCAAAAGGTGGGCACAATTGTTCAAATAAAAGTCCATCTTATGTTTGTGTAAATTGTAACACTGACAACGACGACTAATTATTAGAATTATCTAAGAAGATGTAATGTAGTATGCTATGTTTCCTTTTGAATTGTTTGATGTTCTGTTATTTTTGATATTAGATTTTGCCAAAGAAATAAATGTCTATTTTTATTATTTACGTCTTCATTTGTCATGCTTTACCTTTGTAAGTCACTGTACAGATCTGTTACAATTGACGCTGACCCTGTTACTATTGACACCTCTCAGGAGACAATTGTAACACTTGTAACAGCTCCCTCAAAAGCATTACCATTTCATATTTGCGACACGTGTACTGTTTTAGAATTCAAAACAGTTTTCTCTGAATTGCTGAAGTTGTGATTAAGGTAAATTGAAAGTTTTAAAAAGTAACCAGAACTCAGAAAATAATAAAATATTAATTTTGCTACAATTGACACCGGTCTCCCCTACACACTTTCACATTTATAATATTAGTAGGGAAGTAGGGATATTTACCACTATAAAAAGACGTATTTCGTACCTACGGTGTTTTCTCTCATCACTACAATATTGGACGTTTATTTGTTGTTCACCTTCATTATTCTTTTATTATTAATCCTACTTCTCCTCCCAGGATTTGCTAATGTGAGTACAGCCGATAAGTTAGACAACTTAGCGCCATACTTCGACGATAAGATATCATTAAACGTAGTGAAGGCAGAATATAGGTTGTGGTGTGAGAAGATATCGTCCATTGATCAAGCAATCGGGGTTTTAAAACTGTTGGAGTATTGCAATGGAAATTATTTTCACGGTACCTATCAGAATACTTCTAACTACCTTAGCCACTTTGCCAGTGACAACAGCTAGCGTAGAAAGATCATTTTCCACTATGAAAAGAATTAAAACTCTACCGCGAAGTGTTATGGGCCATGAAAGATTGAATTCACTCGCTATGATCTCTATTCACTGGGATATTGCTGTCGATCCTGATTACGTCCAAGACATTTTATCGGAAAAAAATCTAGAAGATTACTTGTTTGATAGTACAGGTCAAAGTTTTCGAGTTAAAGGTGTTATTCTCAGGTTTTTACCACATTATATTTACACATATACATAGATGAACAAATCTATAGCTCTACAATAATTTCATACATTTTTTTCTATTACATTGATTTATAAAATCATAAGCCTATGTTGACTCCTTTCTTCACACTAATTCGTGCTTAACTCCTTAACCCCCCCCCCCGTTCCTTAACTTTAACCTTCCTTCGCGCCGCTGACTATGAGCCTTGTACATTGTGCAATTTGTAAGTAGACTTATTTGATTGAGTCTAAAGCAGGGTTTCCTACCCTTTTTTTTATCGAGGCTCCCCGGACTATAAATTATATTTTCATGCCCCCCTTTACTTTTTCAATAAATACAAAAAAAAACGCACATTATACAGGGTGTCCCGAAAAAAGTGTGCAATATTCTACTAGCGGTTTATAGAGATTAAAATAGAAAGAAAAGTTTATATAAACATGGTCGACAAACGTCCCCTAAGGGCTCTACGGTCTTTTAAAGGGGCTCCCCTGAAGATGGTTTTTCCTTAATATTTCCGAAACGTGTTGAGATAAAGACATCAAATTTGGTATTCTAGGCTAGTTGTTTATGCTGGATTTAAAAATATTAACAATTTTAGACAGTTTTGTTTGGAAGCTTATGTAACAGAGACGGACTCAGATTATTTTAGCCCCAACATTTTTGTGTGATTCTATTTTTGAAATTCAATTTTAGAATTTGAAAATTTGGGGTTTTCTACATTAAAAAGGTGCTCTTATTGAATATCGATAAATTGTGCCATTTTCGAATAAAATCAAACTAAAGAAATTTGTTACATGAGGAAATGTGCTGCGAATTTAAATAAATTGTTGATTATACATAGTTAGCCATGACTGCAAACAAAAGTGGTTCTGATTTGTTATGACTTATTTTGACGTTAAGCTGACATTATTAGCAGTGTAAAATTACTAGATTAAAATCAACATTTTTATTAAATCGATCTAAAATGCCAAGATTTACAGACAGAGAACTGACTGACATGCATTTTGTGTACGGGTTTTGCAATGGCAGTTCATTGGCAGCCATAAGAGAATATCAAAGACGATTTCTCAATCGCATAGAACCTGGACGTCGAATGTTTACTGTTCTTCCTATTTTAAGCTCTAGAAACCGCTGGTAGAATATTGCACACTTTTTTCGCGACACCCTGTATAGATACAAAGACTTATTTTGATTCTAATAAAGAAACATTAAAAGTTTAAGCAAACTGATATATGTTTTCTTGTCGAAAAACTTGAATAAAATAAGAGTAGGTGCTAATGAGGCACTTGAGATTACATGTTCTGTACCAGCTGGTTGTTTCTAGGTTCTGTTTTTGCCAGAGCTATCATCAGGTCGCTATCGACCTCGGGACGATTTCGCTGTTTAGTTTTAATCAAAACTATAGCAGATAAGCCTGTCTCACATGAGTAAGTTGATGAAAAATAAACTAGTATTCGTAAAGCAAGAGAGGCAAGTGTCGAATCAACAGGCAGTCCTTTGATCCAAAATTTCTTAAATGTTTCATGGACGAATCAGCCTTCATTTCTAGAAATTCTTCCTGTACTTGCAAATGAGTTTTTCTGTCAGCTTTTAAATTCTCGTCCAGTTGGTGTTATTTTTAATAGAAGAATATATAACATTTTCAGAAGACACTTTTTGATTCCAAAGTTGCAGCTTTGATATGAACCCCTGAATATAATCATAATTGCTTATTATAGTGTTGTCTCTGCCTTGAAGTTTCAAGTTTAGCTCATTCAAGAAGTCAAATATGTCAGTTAAATAAGCCAACCTTCGTTGAAATGTGTCATATTTGAACATTGTCAAGAAATCGTGTTTTTCTTTGAACACAAGAAAAATAACTACCTCTTCCTTCAATTCATAAAGGCGAGCCAATATGTTGCCTTTGGACAGCCAGCGTACTTCTGTATGGAACAGAAGAGCTTTGTGATCAGAATCGAGATCCTTGTAAAGTAGAGTAAATAACCGTCTGTTCAAAGCGCTGCCCTTGATGTAGTTCACAATCCTTATAGCCGAATCCAAAGTCTGGCGTAATTTCTGTGGCAATATTTTGGAAGCTTGCCGATTAATAACACAATGTGTACTAACCATTGCGGGGTTTTTTTCCTCGAGCTTTTTAGCTAAGCTCGATCGTACACCTATCATTGCAGGTGCGCTATCTGTGCAAAATCCAATGAGTTTCTTTCAATTCAAATATTTTTTTTCAACAAAATTTGAAATAGAATTGAATATATCTTTAGATGTAGTACCTGCTGTCAAAGATTGGGAGTCCAAATTCCTTCTTGAATGATATCTCCGCCGATGTAACAAACATAAACTATTAACTGTGCACAACTAACGATGCCGGTGGATTCATCGCAACTGATGACAAGAAATGGCGATAATTTTACTTTGTTTATTATTTGTGACTTTGTCTGCTGCAATGTCATAGACTCTACGCTTGACTGTGTTATTTGAAAGAGGAATATACTACATTTTTTGCTCTGCACCTTCTCCTAAAATTATCTGCGTGACTTTTAGGACACGTGGTTTTATTAATTCTTTACCGATAGTATGGGGTTTCTTGAGTATTTCTGCATTAGAACGAAAAAACCCTTTCGTCTTCAAAACCAGAGTAGGATGTTGTTGCTTCAAATGCATTTCAAGGCGCTTGGACCTCATGCTATCATTACTTAAAACTTTCATACATATCACAAACTGAGGCAATATTAACACGTCTTCTTCTATGAAGGTAAATCCAAACTTAATGTAATCTTCCGAAAAGTTTTTTTTTCGCTGCCACTTTTCACCTTTTTTATATCGAAGCAGCATATAGTAATAAAACAAATAAGTGATAAATAAGTAAAATACCTACATGTAGTCACTAATTATATGCCCATTATTGTATCTTAATAACGTAATGTATTCAACAGTATATTGACCACCAGGAGATTTATGTTTTTGTAGGCAGGTTGACGTTATAATAGTAATATTAAATACTTTTGGAATCAATATAGTTCGTCATTTCAAAATTATTTCGCCACGTTGGTTTTATTGTGATGTGGTAAAAAAGTCCCAATGGCCGATCTATGAACGCGTCTCCACTCAATCTACGATTTAGTAAATTAAATAAAAATGGTAACTGAAGTTTGTAAGTACACAAACTTATCTTATAACAGTGAGACATAAGAATTTGAGACACTCAAATAGTTTATGGGAATGAATGTCACAGATGCTCATCTGCGTCTGGCAGGTACACAATTGTTTTCTAAGTGATGAATGTTAAGCGGACCGCGGCGGGGGTACGCGCGGATTTCATATTGTGACATAAACTGCGACTGATGACGCCGGGTTTTGAAATAGCGGTTGACAGATTAAGTGAATATGATATTTAATTTCTAATTTTATGCTTGTAAATTAAACTCTACATTGTAGTGTTATTTATTAATGTATAAAAAAATATGGATATTTACGACGACTAAAAGCATTCCAAAATCAAGGATCGGCGCCAGGATAGAAAACGTACCTGTGCGCGAGACTAGACCGCGTGACGTCAGTAGCCAGACACACCTCGCTAGCTGGCCCGCTGCATTTACCATTCTCACAACAATGTCCCAGTAATCGGTTTGGAGTAGTTAGAGCTGGAAAAAACTCAAGACGAGGACCGTTTGAGCCCGGATGAATCCTACTATTGCACCTCATAAATGTCAGTTCTAATCTCGCAAAACGGAAAGTAATGGATGTTGCTGTATCGCCAATAAGAATTCCTGCGCTTGCTAAACACATTTCATAGCGGCCAAAAAACGTTTGCAAGTGGAAAGTGAACGAGCAAATCTTGAAATTCCCGCAATAACAGAAACATCCGAATCTGATTCAGATGAAGCCAGTGAAAGCAGTACTGAAACTAGTGACAGCGAAGCTGACCAGCTTACTGCCGAGATCGTAGTCATTCTAAGCGCAATATTGGTCAACGTCTAGAACCTGGCTGCATTGCCCATCCCCCGAATGCAGCCCTAAACTTTGTTATTTTAGTAGCTATAAAATTCTATAATGTGACTGCTCCCCCCCCCCTAATTTAAGTATTCCCCAATAGACCCTACAAAAAAAAGATTCTCTCTACATCCCTGGAATTTCTCTCACTGAAAACATATTAGGTACCATACTTTACTTCAGAATAGTGTAACAAAGCCTCATTATGCATGCAAAAAGAACCAATTTCGAGACTCTTAACAGGCGTAACAAGGTAAAAAGGTATGTAAGATAATTTAAATGCCATAATATTTTACCTAGGAAGAAAAAAGCAGAGATAAATAGCCTTCAAAATTGTTGTCACGAGCAGGCATTATTAAGTCTTAATATAACTAGCTTTCAATAGACTAAAGCAGGATCAATTTTTGCGGAGAAATACAAAAAATACAACCCATCGGAACTAAACAAAATAAATCAGCTTCATACAGGTACTTACCGAACTACTTTAACACCGCTGCTCTGAGGTTCATTTAAATTTGCATTATTTGCCAAAAACTCGTACACCATTTCCACATTCACATAGGGTAAATTTCGCGAATCAGCTTTCTGATAACCTTGGAGCATTGTGCTAGCACAAATAAATAAAGTACACAAACGTTAGTCCCAGTTTATATAAATTCGTATTCATATACTCTTCACTCCGTATACAAGACACAAGATGTACTCTATGAGGGCGACAGCACGTGTCTGGCTACTGACGTCACGCGGTCTAGTCTCGCGTTCAGGTACGTTCTCTAGCCTCGCGTCGATCCTTGATTTTAAAAAGCTTTCCGTCGACGTAAATATTAATATTTTGCACTTAAATTTCTTTGACTGTTTCTTAATAACGAAATCCCTAGATTTTAATTAATATAATAGAAATACGAAAAATGTCGAACCTTCCTATTCGTGTCTGCGACATTGAGCAATATGGAACAGATGAAATAATTAACAAACAATGTTGCCGAAACAATTTCCGCATTTAATTGAAATTGTTACAGATCGCTCCATCAATTGCTCTACATTGATCCCTATGTGTTGCCGAGCAATAATTGCTCAAAAAGTTGCCCGTGTAAGCGCACCTTTACTCCGTAGTATCCCCCATTTAGCGTTTAGCACCGGAATGAAGGAGAGTTGCAAACAGATCGTACGTCAGTTACGTCTGTATGCTCAAGCTGTGCGCATCGAGCAGACTATCAGTTTAATGATAGTACATATTTTTAAGGGAATACGGGCTCCAAATATAGATAGAGCCCTTTAAAGACTTAGTGTTGGGTCAAGCGAATCTGGTGGATCACTTCCAGCTGATGAAACTGTGTATTCCGACGGAATTGTTTTTTTTTTTCATGTTTCTGTTGAAAAACAGCAATAACATTGAGGATATATGCTACTAAGTTTCTGTCTCGTCTCGTAAATAGAATAGATGTAGTACCTCGTTTCGCGGCCAAACCCACGAGTCCAAAACGTGCACGCAGCGCACCCTCCCTCTTCCCTCCTCTCCGGCCTCTGGTCTTATTACGTTATTTGCTTGTTACCATGTAAGAGATGATTTTTGAACCTAAGTTACGTCGGATTACCTGTTGTTAAATGCCCTAACTCTAGTTGTTACAATGGAAATTTACTTAGTTGAACACATCGTGTACAATTTGTGTAGTGGTGTACTATATCGTTTACTACTACAGAGCATTAGTAGTATGTTGTTGCAACTCGCTTTGAAGATCTACACCTATTCTATACTAAATGACATAGAAAATGCAATACTTTCAAAAGTTTCAGGTCTAGTGATAAAGAGAAAGTGATTAAAATTTTACCTCAAAATTATAATCTCACATTTGCTCGCTACACGTTCGTGAAGTCGTCGCTGCATGGATTGGATTAGGTGATTGATGTCTTCTTGGTTTATTGTGTCTCAGGTCATCTGAATTTGGTTTCGTAGAGCCTCCAATGTTTGTGGGGGGTGCGGTGAATTTTGCTATCTTTTTCCCGTCATGTCCATACATGTTCGATGGGGAAAAGATCTGGAGATCGAGTAGGCCACTGAAGCAGATTTACTCCGGATGCTTCTAAAAAGTCTAGGCTAACACGTGCGACATGAGGTCGTAGATTGACCTGCTGAAAAAGTGGATCTTGCAATGTTTCCAAAAAGGGAAGCAGATGTGGTTGTAAAACTTCGTGGATATAGCGCTGGGCAGTCATGCTACCTCGAATGAACACTAATCGTGTCCTGCTGCCATCAGCAATGGCACGTCATACTTTAACCCTCACAGTGCGATGCATAATGCCGTTCCATGGTGTTTCATCACGTCTCCTCTTTACTATTGCACAGCCATCATGTGTGCCCAAGCAGAATCTGGCCTCATCGCTGAGCACGACTGACGTCCATTCCATATTCCATTCAAGTCTCTCCCTAATCCATACCAACCGTTGCCGACGATGCTGTGAGGTTAGAGGTAGTACATCATGGGGACGGTGTCCAAAAGGCCTTGTTTGGCGATAAACTGTCCTGATTGTTCACCTCATTCACCTCACGTAACCCGATTATCCGACCCCTCTTAAACTGAAAGCTGAGTGAAATTAGCGCGTCTGCGAATTCTAGGCATGATAATGCAATGAAACAACAATGAAGCAGATTGAATCAGCACAGAAAAATCACTTAATATTAAGTAAACATGTTCATATTGTTCGGATCCTGATATGACAAAAAAAGCGTTTACTAAAAAAGGGTGGCTAGGAATGCCTATAACATTTGTCATCGTATATTTCCATGATAACAAATATGCTTTACAAGTTTAACTAAATAAATAATTCTGGGTGTTGCATTACATATGTCACTTAGGGCCAATTTCACCAACATAAATATTTAACGGTCCCTTGGACCAATGGGAAAATACCTTATCGAAATGCATCATATATAATATCAGTGATTTCTATTAAAATATTGAATAGAATCGTGAAAATTAGACTATATTATAAACAAGACCACCTTTTGATTCCAACATGATGCTTTTGTACAGAGAAAACAGGACAACTTTCATGTATTTTCATTTTGGTTATAAATTTACATTTAACAATCAGTTACCCCCAAAGCCAATGGGAATGCAACAAATAAACGGTCGGTTTTCTAGCTGTTAAATTTAACAGCAGGTTTGGACGTTTGATAATTCATGGTAATCTCGAATTTGTTGAGTGCAATATACTAAGTGTTTATATGTTATCATTATACCTACATACCCGTTGAATAGTGTTGATTTGTCTGTATTTTGCAAGAAAATGGAATATAAGTACATTCCAACCAATTCCTCATCTGCATTAACATCATAATAGTAATCATCTATTAATTTATGGGTTGACGAATTTTTTCAAGGCAATAAAACCATTATGTCCTCTCCATCCTAAAACACAGATAATATGTGTAAAACGTGTCAATCCCTACATTTCCGTGATGCATAATGCAATTACTATAGACATAGACAAAAAATTATGAAAAATTTCTCACAAATAATGTCTTTTAAGTCCAAAAATCATAAAATCTAATAATGTTTATTGTTTCATTACCTTGTTGACTGGCGGAGTTGCCAAGTCTAACGACGATCACGTCCCGTGGTGGAGGGTGCGAAATGAATCTTTTACATTTGCTGGTTTTGAATTTAAAGTAG